CCCAGAACCGGAATCGGACCGGCCCGGGTCCATCCCTACTTGCAGCTACTTTGTGATGTGCTTTTTTGAAATTTATTAATTTTTTATTGTTTTCAATTTATCACACGCCTGGTTCCTTTCCATTTTCTTGTTTTGTGTAATACTTTCTCCGGTCCTTAATTAACTTTACACTTTCCTTTTTAGGTGGTCCCATATTAAACTTTACACTTCCTTATTTGTCTTATTTGGTAAACAAATCTACATCAAACAGTGCAAAACAGTCCTAAACAGTGTCAAACAGTGTCAAAAAGTGTACTCTACAGTAAAGTCAAATTTATTTCCTTAATATGTGTGAAATCAAAGTGTAAGTTTAATAAGGACCGGAGGGAGTAGTATTCTACTCTGTATTTGTTTATCTAATTTCTTTTATTGACTTCTAACCTCTTTTTTCCTATTAAATATTTTTATATAATATTTGATTCAAATGTCATTTTTAATGTAACACTTTGATGTGTACGGTCACATAGTTTTACAATGATATCAACATTGTCACACAATTCGTAATGACAATGTTGATAAATGATATTAACATTCCAACATTTTGTAATAATGACATTGTCCTTATATCTTTGTTACAATGTAATTTCTTCTAGGGAAAACTGTCAATTACACCCTCGTACTATGGGCGAACCCTCAATTGAGCTCTCCTACTTTGATAACCTTCAATTGAATCCGCCAAGTCTCCAAAATCAATCAATTAGGTCTACATTACCGGTTGGTTCCCGGTTTGCCCGTTGCTTGCCTTCCTGGCGCTGACGTGGACTTTGCCTATCGGTCTTTCAGTGCTGACTCACTTAAATCATTTTACTTCCATTATCCACCCCCAATCAACACCACACCGTGCCCTAATTGACGACCTTAATTCGAAGCTCTGCGACATAGCACTCCTCGACATAGTCATCCACTTCTCACCGTCGACCTCGTGACCAACAATGGCCTCCTCGTCTACAGCAACGAGTACAAAAGAGCGAAGACGCACTACAAATTACGAGCCTGCAGTGTACTGTTGGTGTGGATTGAAAGCGCCTCTGTGCGTGGGAAGGGAGAGCGGAAGACAATTCTATGGGTGTCAAAATTGGCTGGTAAAACGTCGAATGAATTTACATTTTTTCATTTGCTGTGGTTATGTAGGTTGTGCAGGTTATGTAGGTTGTTCGTATTGGTAGTGCATATATAATACTGTAGGTTGTGCAAGTTATGTTTTGAACAAATCTTGTATTGGTAGTGATTTTGAATTTGAAGAACCTGTTCGTGTGATAATAGGTGTGTTCGTATTGTCAACAGGGAGAAGGGTGTGGCTACTTCTTGTATAAGGATGACATAGGAAGAGAAGACATGATCAGGCCTGGTCAAAAGAGAGATAAGTTTGATGAAGTAAAGACCATGGTTGAAGGTGCTGTCCAACGCTTAAGCTATGTTCAAGCTGATGTAACCACTATAAAAACCATTCTTGAGAATGAGGTTAAGGCCAGAAAGAGGTGCAGGAAGCTCGTTGTCATAGGGTTGGCTGTATTTCTGTGCTTTGCAACAAATATGTATTCAAGCTATCATAGTTGAATTGTCTTGGATGTAATGGTATCTATGTTTCAAAAAGTTCACCACCAGTTTATTGTCATAGAAAGTGGAATGTAGTGTCATATGGTATCTATGTTTGAACAAGTTTTCCACACGTTTTCATATTAGGTACTTTTGTATTGTCAAGAATCTAGATTCCTGGAATGTATTCATTGTGTATGTTGTGTGGCATTTCATATACCTGTATACACTTAGAATATGTGTACTATTAAAACTTCAAAATATACACTTAAAACCACAAAGATAAGATCATCTATTATTTCATATACAACTGACATTCAAGTATGGACAATAAGGTGTAGTACACCCATGAAATTCAAGAGCAACTGACATATATTACTGCCAATACTTTAAAAGCAATATTTCTTCAGCAATAATGCATAGTACCCGTTGAACTACAATAATGCAATAAATGACCCCATCAATGGTCATCACAAAAAAGGTAGTTTGAACCTCGGCCATACATCCATACACCAAAAGCAATCCCAATATAGTACATTATCATTACATCCACTTAATGACAAAAAACTACTTCCATAAATGTTCATTAAAGCAATCCCTCCTCTTGTTCTCCAATCACTGTCTCTCCAGGTTGGCCAGGCTGCATATAACATACAAAGCAAAATGAGAAAACATCATTGCCACAAATTGAAATGACTTAAACATACAAGTCAGGTGTGAACTTACTTCCAGAATGGTTTCACCAGTAGCTTCATTGACATACACACCAAACCCTGATTGCCTTCTGCTTGTATTGCCCCTCTTCCCTCTTCCTCCTCTTGGGCGTCTGCCTCTTGCACTTGGAGTCACTGTACCTGCAGTAGTAGAACATGATTTCTTGTTGTGGCCTTCTCCTCCGCACAATGAGCAAGTCATGATGCGCCCTTTTCTTGAGAGTTGTGAAGAACTGGGTGGACGTAGGTATGGACTCGGGCCGGGTGGCCCGACCCGGAACCGGCCCGGGACCGGTACTGTTCCGGCCCGGCCCGACCCGGTGGCCCGGTCAGTGACCGGTTCGGGCCAAAAACAATTTTTTTTTTTTTTTGCAATTTTTTTTAAAGTTTTGGGTTGGGCTGGGTATTTTGGGCCATTTGGGGTGGTTTGGGGGTTGGGGGTGGGAGGGGGGTTACTTAGGAAGAGGAAAACAAAAAAAAATTATAATGGGCCCGGCCCGGACCGGACCCGGACCGGACCCGGTGGTTACCCGGGCCGGTCCCGGGTCCACCATTTCTGACCCGCCGGCCCGCCCGGGCCTAGGCCCGACCCGGACCCGGCCCGGACCCGAGTCCAACCCTAGGTGGACGTGCTTCACTTTGTTCCCTTACACGCTTCTTTTTGGGTCTGGCACTCATCTTCTTTGGCAAAGGAGGTAAGATCTCTTCATGTTGGGTTCTAGGCCATAACAGCTCCCCATTGATAGGATGCAATGTGTAGGAGTAAGTTTTATGGTACATCTCCTTACTGTAACAGTGGTCAATGTATGCTTTTGCCTCCTCCCCCTTGTCATAGATGGCACAAATAGCATGGGCACAAGGGATACCACTGAGATCCCACCTTCTACAAGAACATGATCTCTTCTTAAGACTGACTTTGAATTGCCCTCTTCCTTTCTTGATTTCATATCCATCATCACCATTGAAATCCACATTCCATCCTTGACTTGCTAGAATATTAGTATTCAGCTTCTTCATTATTATTGGACCAAATGAACCTGCATAAGATTTGGAAAACAAAAATGCTTAATAAGATTTGATAAAGAACAATGACCCAAACGAACATTTCTAAAGTGCAAATGACTATCGCTTCACGTAATAATATCATCACAATAGCAACATTCATGCGACAAATACGAACACAAATCACCAACCTCGTGTAAATACGGTGGACTTACAACTATAAACTAACCTGGCGTTTGTCTTCTTCACGTGGACGGTGAGAAGTGGATGACCAGCGTCGAGGAGTGCTATGTTGCTTATCTTCTCGCAGAGCTTCGAATTAAGGTCGTCAATGAAGGTTAGGGCACGGTGTGGTGTTGATTGGGGGTGGATAGTGGAAGTAAAATGATTTAAGTGAGTCAGCACTGAAAGTCCGATAGGCAAAGTCCACGTCAGCGCCAGGAAGGCAAGCAACGGGCAAACCGGGAACCAACCGGTAATGTAGACCTAATTGATTGATTTTGGAGACTTGGCGGATTCAATTGAAGGTTATCAAAGTAGAAGGGCTCAATTGCGGGTTCGCCCATAGTACGAGGGTGTAATTGACAGTTTTCCCTTTCTTCTATATCTTTGTTACAATGTCATTTCTTCTATAACATTGTTATTGACATTGTGTTTTTTAAATTGATAATAAAGTTAACAATATTATAACATTGTTTTTTGGAAATGTTTATAATTGTAATATATGACATTGTAAAATATTTGTAATTTCAATGTTGACATTGTGAAATTTTCTGATTTCAAACCGGACCTTGGTAATGATCATACTGTCATTTTTTACACTACCAAGTGCAATACGACTCCCTTGCGAGAATTTGTCTTCTCCGTGCGACACATACTTCAGGAAAATGGCGTTTTTTACTCAACGAAATCAATTCTTCATCAATGCCTCAGAGAAGCTAATCAGATGGCTCACAACATTGCCAAATAAAACAACAAAAACCAATGCAATGCACAACACAGAAGACCATTTAGAAAAGCAGCTTTTTTAAGTTTCCAGATTAATTAAAAATGAACATACTACTAATTGATTAAGAGGGTAAAGATAGAAACTTTATTTTGCTTGAATACTGCAAGCATATGAGCCATTACACAACACAAAAGACCATTTTGAAAAGCAGTGTTTTCAAGTTTGCAAATTAATTAAAAATGAACATACTACTAATTGATGAAGAGAGTAAAGAATTGGGTTAATAAGCTGTAAAAATTATGTATATATAGATTATGTTTTCTTGAAAATATGACTGTCTGCTAAAAATTCTTCAAAAAGAACTATGAACACATCTGCGATATGTTTCCTTTTAGGAAGGAATGAATCCTATTAAAGAATAAAACAAAGACACTCCAATATGTGCACATAACTCATGTTTTACACTTTTACTAGGTCATTTCTTAATTATGAATTGTATCATTTCAAGGTGATTTCAGGCCAAATGAACAAAACCACATATTACCTTCTCTTGAAAAGGGATGTTGGATGTTATTCTTAAAACTGCTTTTGCTCTTTCAGAGAACAGAAGCAGAAGTTGGAGTGTTTGAGTGAAAACGCAGAAGTGATTCTAGTGCTCTGATTTAATCCTAGAAAACTGATTCTGATTCTGCTTTAAAAAAGAGGCAGCAGCAGAATCAGTTCCAAACATCCCCTGAGTCAGGCAGGGCAGCAGACAAAATGGCGCCCTGGTTTTCATTCAGAACAACAACAAAAACACAAAACCGACATTGGAGGGATTAATTTCTTTATAAACTCAACTAATGTAATGTTTTAAAATTGCAGATAAACCCAACCACGAAATAGCTAGACCAGACAGAAAAGAGGAGCAAACATTCAAAATATAACAAAGTATTCATTTTTCTGGCAGAACCAGAACTCAAAACATTGAAGAAGCTTTGCCTAAACTGAACTGATTGATATATTTAGGGAAAAAAGAAGAACGTGAGCCTTTCAGTACCGGCTGCCGCCACCGAATCCACCACGACCACCAGCGAATCCACCACGTCCGCCTGTGAATCCACCAGGTACGGCCATCGCGCCAGATTCCTCTTCCTTGAGTACAACTCCTGGGAGCTCAGTCATACCCAATGAAGTAAGCAATTCAATTGTCTCCTTGTCGACCTCAATGCGTTCGGTGTTGATGGCGGACTCTTCCGGGACGAAGTCCATGCGGCGCTCCCTCTCCTCCTCCTGGAGCTTCAGCGAGATGCCCCTAACAGGTCCCTTCTGGATCCGCTTCATGAGATGGGTAGAGAATCCAGCGATCTTGTTCCTGAGACGCTTCGTCGGGATGACGGCCACCTCTTGCAGAACCTTCTTGTTGGTGTGGAAGTCGAGGGTCAAGCGCGAGTAATAGCGCTCGATGACTTGGCGGGATGATTTTTTCACGGTCTTGGTGCGGACACGACCCATTGTGGCGGTGGTTGAGAGCGCTGCGGAGTGCTGCCGTGAAGGTTGAAGAAGAAAGAGACGCAGATATAGCCGAATAGGTTATGCGCAAGGGCTTACAGACTGGGTTTTACAAACTCGGTTATACAAACTGGGCTGGGCTTTCTTTAAGGCATACAATGGGTCTATTAAATGATTTGATAGATTGTTGGCTGCAATACTTCATTATTTTGTAGAAATATCCAAGCTCGGTCACTTTTTTGTTTGACATATCATTCATGTCCATCCATAAAATAGTTTTGATATTTAACTTTTAACATTTCAATTTGATTTCTTTTATTTCAAAAGTAGTCTGAATTCTAAATTCTAAATCAATCGCACATTCAAACAAAAAAATCATCCTCCGCTCTAACTTTTCTCCTCTAACCCTCCCCTCCCTCATCATCCTGTCATGTCTCCTTCCATCCATATATTCGACCTCCAGTCTCATCTATTTTCTCCAATCATTCGTCTTCCCCTCTACTCTGTGACTCTATGACACATCGACGCCAACTCGTCGGAGTGGCCAATCACCGCTACATAGGACGCCAACTCGTCGGTCGCTTCTTCGTCCTTAAAGCATGTCAGCCTCGCCGGCTCCCCGACACTAGTTCTAGGCTCATAGCTGACGAACAAATTCAAGTAAATGGTAATTCCTCCAGCCTTCATTAATTCTGCCATCTCCCTCCAACTTGATTCCTAACTATTTAAGTTTCTAACCTAATTTTTTCAAGGTAAACTCAAATTTACATGTCGATTTGTAAATTTGTAAATCAAAAAGCTGAATTTTGCTTATTTGTAAGGTATTATAATCTGAATTGTGAAAGTGTTTAATCAGAAAGCCTGTAATTGCTTAGTTTCTATGAATTTTATAATTGCTATTACATTTTGGTTATTATATTTTTCATTCTTTTATGCTTTTAAATTCAGATGTCGTGGATTATTTTATATATAACTTTAGTTGTGATTTATATTCTTTTTTTGATTTCAACATGTAGAAGATCAACTATTACTAATTTTTGAGATAAAAAATTGTTTTGTATGTTTCTAATGAGACTAGAATCTGTGAATTATTTAATAAATTGAAATATTAATATTTGAAATCGCTAAATTATTTAATAAATTGAAATACTAGACTGTGAATTACATAATTGTGTCGATATTTTTATATATTGTTTTTGTTGCTTTCGGTTGCATCAGATGTGTTGCTTTTTGTTGCATCGTGTTGTTTTTTGTTGTATCATGTTGCCTTTTGTTGCATCGTATTATTAATTGCTTATTTTCACAATAAATTGCATCAATGTTTGGAAGAGAGGGGGGTATTATATGAAATTACAAGTAAATACCAATTAAATCCTTCCTTAACTTAAAGCTGAATTTGAAGCAATTCCCGTGAAGTTGTTATATGTAATAACAAGTAATTGTTGTGAAATTGCAGGTAGATACCAATTGAAGACAAGATAATCAAATTCAGAAGAGATGGCAAAAAAAGTGATATGAAGGATAGCTAAATTATTTAATAAATTGAAATATTAGACTGTGAATTACATAATTGTGTTGATGTTTTTTATGTATTTTTTTGTTGCTTTCTGTTGCATAAGATGTGTTGCTTTTTGTTGCATCGTGTTGTTTTTTGTTGTATCATGTTGCCTTTTGTTGCATCGTATTGTTAATTGTTGATTTTCACTTTTTTCTAAGTTTCTATTTATCCTTTCTATGTCCTTGAAATAGGATAATCATATTATATATGGATATATATACAAACACCTGAAATGACAAATTTGAGTTTATTAATATCAGAAAAAAACAAAACATGGAGAAACAATAAAAAATAAAAAGTAAAAGCTTTCAACAACATGAAACACAAGGAAACACTATGCTACAAAATTAAATAACAATAGATTGATAAATTCTAAGCAAACTTTTTCACTATTTTCAAAAATACTCCGTATTAAACTAGAAAATTCATATTAAAATTTATTTTTTTAATTTTTTTTCCCATTTTTACATGTTCAATATTTTAAATTTTCACATTTTGATTTATCAAGTTTTAATATTTTATACTTTTTATAATTTAAATCAATTATTTCACTCTTATCAAATTTTATGATTTATATTTTGTATTTACATTTTACTTTATAAAACTTAATTTAAATTTAAAAATAATCAAATGTTATGCATTCATATGATTTTATAGTTTTTTCGCTGAGTATATATTTTGATTTTAAATTTTTTTATTCTTCCATAAAAAATTGTAATTACACGTCACAAGTTTATAATAATTTACCATATTTTACACTTTGTTTATAATTTTTAGGTATCTAGGTTATTTAACCATATTTTTTTTATTCTATTAAACTTTTAACTTTTATATATTTTTAGGGTTAATATTTTGATATAAATTATACTCGTATTAACTATTTAAAGAAGTTACATAGTACATCAAATAAGTTGCCTTTAAATTTTTTGAAGTTTCCCACATTTTACTAAATAATATAATTTCAAATTCAATTTTGAAATATCTATCTATGAATTTGAGGCTTTTTCTAGTTTTTTGGACTTTTATTATTTTTCTAAATTTTGTTCTTAACTTTTTACATATTTTTCTATTCAATAACAAACATTGAGTAATTAGTTTATTAAATTAAAAATGTCACTAAAAAAGTAATGAGGCATTAAGTCATAGTGCACTTGTGTGTGGAAGTAATTAAATCCAGTAGACCCGTACCGTATCTCATGTCTATTTATGAAAGCAAACTTTTGAATAGGCTATTTTTGAAATTAAATTTCAAAACTGTAAAAAGTGATATAATTTCACTTTTTTGTCTACTGCTGAAAATTTCCCCATTATTTTTGATAGCAACTTTTAGCCCAATTCATGAAACATTTGCCTATTATAGAGTCTTTTTGTTAATTATCATTATTTCCTAATGGGGTCTATAGAAATATTCTCATTATTAAATAAAAAAAAATCGACAATTAATTTATAAGTACTATTTCCACGAATAGACAAATGTTTAGGAGAAGAAAAATATTTGATGAAGAAAATCACATGAATAATCCCAGTTTTTAATGATCTTTTAATATTAATCTCGTATATTGGTGATTCCAAAATAATCTAAAGTATATGAGCTAAGTAGCACGGAAACGCGAGCAACTCAATTTATAGAAAATATATGATACGAAATGTGGGGGAAACGCATAAATGTTAAAAAGATATAAGGATATACCTATAAATACTTTTTTTATATATGTACATAATTTTTCCATGTAATTTGTTTAATGATCCAATAATAAAAAACATTCAACATGTTAAGATTTTGAAATCACATCATATTAGTACATAATTACACATTAAATGCAATATATTTCTAGCATTTCATTGTGTTACAAAATGTCACTGACTCGCATTGTTGTTACGAAGAATACCACAAAAATTCACTATTTTTTTAAAAGACGCTTTTTTCCATTGCAAAATCTCTTAAGAAAGAGAAAAATGGGAAATCCAAGATTTCCGAAATGCTAACTATTTAGGGAAATGAGTTTCTCAATTCATCTTAATTACAGAAACAGTCCCAAAATGAAAATTTGAAGTTTCTAAAATTTCAAAATGTTTTCAAGTTTCTGAAGTGGGAAAAAGTGAACTGCATAGAGTTCCCGTGCCACATAGTATATGAGAAAATTTCTTAAAATAAGACCGGTGATAATTTCATATATTTTGTAAATATATGATACGAAACGTGGGGGAAACGCATAAATGTTAAAAAGATATAAGGATATACCTATAAATACTTTTTTATATATGTACATAATTTTTCCATGTAATTTGTTTAATGACCCAATAATAAAAAACATTCAACATGTTAAGATTTTGAAATCACATCATATTAGTACATAATTACACATTAAATTCAATATATTTCTAGCATTTCATTGTGTTACAAAATGTCACTGACTTGCATTGTTGTTACGAAGAATACCACAAAAATTCATTGTTCTTTTAAAAGACACTTTTTTCCATCACAAAATCTCTTAAGAAATAGAAAAATGGGAAACCCAAGATTTCCGAAATGCTAACTATTTAGGGAAATGAGTTTATCAATTCATCTTAATTACAGAAATAGCCCCAAAATGGAAATTTGAAGTTTCTCAAACTTCAAAATGCTTTCGAGTTTCTGAAGTGTAAAAAAGTGAACCGCATAGAGTTCCCGTGCCACATAGTATATGAGACAATTTCTTAAAACAAGACCGGTGACCTCCTCCATCTCCTCCCCCTCCCCCTCCCCCCCTCCCCCTCCCTCTCTGTTTCTGAGCGTTCAAATTGTATTTTACGTAGTTTAGCTAAACAGTAAGAGTACTCATTAGCAACCATAGTTTTTCGAGCGACAGATAGCGGGAGAGAGAGAAACAAAGCTTGGGCAAGACAAGGGAAGGTTAATGAAGCTCGGGAATTAGCCGGTCAGAGAATAGAAGGCTCCAACATTCTTTTATCAATTATGTGTAGTACTGAGAGAAAACAATGGTGAAGAAGACATGATCCATAGTGAAATGCAACCCATTTAAAATTAAAGTTTACTTTTGAATAAAATAGTGTTAAAAACCTAATTTTAAAATTTAGGTAAATTATGAGTAAAATAAATTTGACTAGCTAAGTGTATACTACTGCAGGTGGCCTAAATTGTACAAAAGCATTGCTAAATTATTAAAACACAAGGACATAGACTTAAATCATCTTATTTTTATACTTCCTGATTTCCTTCTTATATACTCTGCAATTGCTTATTGTTTATTTTTGTTGAATAGATCTAAGAAAGAGGAACAATTGAATAGAAAAGGTAACTATTTGTGGGTACTTTTTGAAATAATTCTAAATAATTTGTGAAAAAAGGCAATCGAGATGATATTTAGGGATTAGAAACATAAGGTATACTTCTGAACTACATTATCATATATATTTAGCTTATTCAAATAAATTTACAACTGCATTAATTTGTGAGTCCTTCCTTGCATTTGTAATTGTAAAGAACTTATTTAGAAACATGTGTCTTAACAATCCTAATAGTTGATCGAGCAATACTACTTTCTTTTATAAAAAAGTATATGTTGAAATATATGTC